GGCTGGTCAGTTCCCTTGTCTATAAGCCAAGGGCAGAGGATGAGATAACCTTTAAGGCCTTTTTCAGCTCTGACATTCTCCATGAGGGGCCATGTTTCAGAAGGACTCAGCAACAGTTTGATTCCCAGGCTTTTTTTTTTTTTTTTTTAGTTCTTCATTTCTATTTTAAAAAATAGCATGTTCCCGTGGCCCTGGAATGCCTGCCTCCGGCCCCTTTGGAGCCCTGGGTTATGTGAAAGCAGCCGTGCCAAGCTGGCCCATGGGCGGGGCTGAGCCTTCCTGGCTGGCTTGTGACATGTTCCTGACGTACTGTGTGGTCAAGGAGCTGGAACTGGGGGGGCTGAACAAGGGCCAAGCCTTGCACTTCAGCTTCCTGACCTGGCAGCCATTCAGAGAGACCCTGCTAAGTGCTATTTCCTAAATACACTCTCTTTTCATAACAATCTTACCACATTGCTTTCCTTTACAAGCGCTCTTAAAAAAGGGAACTGGACTCCTTCTGGTTAATCTACACAGACTACATTTGGAAACCATCAGAAACTGAACTCTAAACAAAACGTTATTAATGTGTTGTAATCTGCCCTCTATGTTGCAGATGAAAAGAAAATGTTTTATAGTTTCAGAGCATACGTTTTAATTGCCTTTTAAGAGTGCATATACTTTTAGTACTTAGTGTTATAAAACTGTAGTATCTGTTTCTTGATAACTGTTGAGTGATCTCAGCTATTTTTATTAGTTTTCCCCCTTATCCTTTTCTCCCTTTTTCTCCTAAACTGCCACCCATGCAAAGTTCCTTTAGATCAGGCTTGATAGAGGGCTCACGTAGTTGAGATCTTCATTATAAATAGCTCCTTAGCAACCTCCGCCTCACTATAAAACACTTGTCCCTGAAAACGAGTTCTATAAACAAAGATGGAGTGGGTAGCTTTGTCTAATAATCCAATAGAGCTGGGAACCTAGCAGTCTAGCCTTTCCCCAGTTGCTATTGCTTTTTTATGGGGGCCAGATGACCTACCGAGATCTGATGCTCTTGCTACTTTTCTCAACTGTACAGCCCTGTCCCCAGAGATTAACATATCAGTCATCAACCCAGACATTTCGAGGGCAGAGTCTTGGACACACCAGGATCCGGCCTTTTCTTCAGCGAGGAATCCCACATTCGTTAGCATCAGGCCTGAAGTGAACTGAGGGATTGGACTCGCCCCAGCTTGTCACCAGCTGACAGATCCCTGGAAGGCCAGCTCACTTGATAGCATCTTCATGGGGCCGAGGCCTCCACTGTCTCACCTTCCAGTTGGCCAAACAGTGCTCAGCTCCATGACCAGTGAGATATGCCTGAATCACAGGCTCCCAGGAAATGAAATGTCTTTTCTGAGTTAAGGGTTTCTTGGGTGCAGGACCGGGGGTGAGGGTGTTTGGCCCTCTGAATGCCTGGCTAGGTGGAAACAGTAGAGTTGGTCTCTGAGTGGTCTAAGGATTAAGTATTCCCAGTGATGTGGAATACCACAGCAGCAGCCATAAATGATGAAAGCGTCCCAGGATTATCCATTGTAAGGTAATGTTCAAAAACTGGATTCACAGACTCCTTGGACCAGAAGGGCCCATAGAGATGGTGTGGGTTCATCAGTTAATTTCAGGTGAAGAAACTGAAGCCGAGATGGGCAACAGCAGCCCAAGATCTTGTGGCCTAGGTGAGCTTAGCAGCCTGCTTTCTGGTTCTCCACCCTGGCTCTTCACCCCCGACTTCCATCGGGAAGGAAAGAAAGCATCCCTAAAAGGAACTCCCTTTAGTTGTCTGAAAATGGGAGCCTGAGCCCTTTAATTTCGGGTTCTTTTCAGAGATAGTCATCTTCCTTATCTCAAACATTAACTCAAATGTTTCTTGTGATGTCTCCAGTGTTTCCCTAATGCCTTCTTGACTCACTGGATATTATGGCTTGATACAGTACAGAGCAGTCCTCAGTTACAACCTTCATTCCTAAGGCGATTTTTTATATGGAAAACAAGCCTTGCTCTCAGTCCTCTTGCCATCAAAACTTGCACAATATATTGAGAATTCTTCCAATGGCTCAGCAGGCCCGACTTTCACAGTACATCAGCATTCACACTGTCTAAAGGAGCACTTGTTCACAAATCTACTACTTTAAAGTGATCAAAACTTAAATTTTAAGTTGGGTTGCCTCTCTTCCCCTCCCTTTTAATTCACAGAGGTGCTGAGGAAACAAAAGACCAAACTCAAGGAAAAGACCTTCCCCATAGGAAAGTGAGGCCATTTCCCTAGTCCTCCAATGGCTGCTATGATTTAGTAACTTATTTTTGGATCTTCTTCAAGCCTGCCTCATTCCATGTCTGATTCTTAATCCCTGGGGCAGGTGACATTTTAATACCCTAAAAAATCAGCTCAAAACAAAGCTTGAAAAAATTGGATCATCACATTTTTACATTCCCTCTTTTACATAAACTAGTTTGATGCAGCAAGTCTTTCTTCCTTCTGACGGATCCCAGATTAATGGGTGGTAATTATAAAAATACTAGAGGCCCGGTGCACACATTCATGCACCGGTGGGGTCCCTCGGCCTGGCCTGCAGGGATCAGTGGACCTCCGCGTCGCCCTAGCCTGGCCTTATCCGCCAGCTCGTTGGGCTCCAGCCTGCTGTCTGCATCGATCCCGCACAGCACAGCACAAGGTAGTGCACGATAGGCAAGCGGCCGGGGAGGATCCTGAGCCCGGGCTGGATGCTACGCCGCCCACCGCTCAAGCTCGCAGGGGGAGTGTCCATGGGAGAGGCTCGTGCTGCCACAGCTGTGAGCCTGGCATCTGGCACCTGTCTGTCAGCTGAGCGGTGCTCCCGCTGTGGGAGTGCACTGACCACCAGGGGGGCAGCTCCTGCATTGAGCATATGCCCCCTGGTGGTCAGTGTGTATTATAGCTACCGGCCAGTAGGCCGGTCACTTAGGCTTTTATATATATAGATTGGGCAGGGAACATCCTTGGAAAGAACTTCTACCCCCATTTTACAACCTCTTCTCAATAGTTCTCTTCTGAGATCCCCGGAACAGCATGAACAAAGCGTTTTCCCTTAGACAGATTAAGAGAAGGTTCTTCGATTCAGTAGTTTTGTATTAATTGCTCCTAAAGCAAATTGTTTCTTCAGCCAGAGACACAATTCTATGTTGAGATTCTAGACCTGGACCATTCTGCTGCTGAGATCGCTGTCCTTAAGATTTCAGCAGTAGAGTTTTTGGGTGTGTTTCGTGACCTTTTGTGCTAGCAAATAAGCCGTTGGAGGATTAAAATTAACTTTTCTCATCCTAGTTAAGGAGTGCTCTGCTCTGGAAACATTAGAGGGGGAAAAAAACATGCCCCAGTTTTGAGCCAAATACCAAGTCTAGTAGTGCTGATAATTTTTTCAACGTTCTTATTTAAAAATAATCTTTTTTTTTTTCAGGAATAGTAGAGAAAGTAGGAAAATATACATTAATCTGAACAAATTCTTCTCTTAAACTCAAAGAAGATTAAAGTTTTAAGTTACAAGTATTTGAGTGTATACTACTACTTTAAATTACTCCAAGTGGTTAAAGTATTAAAAGTGAACATACTGCTGCAAACTTCTTGATCTACAGATCTAAAGTAGTCACTCACTTTATCCTCTGTATCCTAACAGGGACTCAATAGAATATTCAATGAAGTCCTGGTATCATGTGTGTTAGGAGCCTTTGCATCAAGCTATCAGAATTGGTCATCTGCCACAAAGCCGGCTAGATAAATTCCCACAGTGACACACTCCTGGAATAGCCACTGAGGGACTCAGGTCACTACTACTTCATCCCTGCTGAGGAAGCACAAACCAGGCAAATTCTCACCACATGGCCTTTGCCCTCTGATCTTATATCCTACCTGTCCTCCCTAGGCCCAAGGCTCTGTGGGAATCCATGCCAGGCTGGCATGAATTATCTTCATGAGTTGTTTTCTTTCAAAGGTCTTGGGGAATAGGCTATAACCACTGAAGGGGGGAGTAGTCCTTTAGATTTCCTTTTTTTTTTCTTTTGAAAGTAGTATCAGCTATAACTAGAAAATCATTCCTTTATGTTTGGACAAGGAACATGGAGAGAAATTGTACTAAGTCATTCATTCCAACTCAAAAGCAAAAGCAAGCCTTTAAAGTGCTTCAACTCTCAGACTCAAATACAGCACCATCCATGATAGATACAAAGCGGTGCGATCAGAAGTTCCCTTGGCTGCCTTGATGGGGAAAGGATTCAAGAAGTACTTAGGAAGGCTGACAGCTCTCCAAAAGGAAGCTAATTCCAAAGAGATTTCCAAGTCAACATCCAAACCAAAGAGATGTGGAAAATTTCAGAAAGGCACCCTAACAAAACATCCCAGTAAAGTACCCTCACTCCTTTTTGCAAACCCACAACTGGTAGGAGCAAAGTTCCAATGAGACAGCTTTTTAAAGCAGCAAGTTGCAACCACAAGTGTGGTTACTCTTCCAACATTATTTTCTTGGAGAAAATTAAATGGGTGGGTAGGGAAGCAAACCGAAGACGACTGTAGTTTAAAAGTTCTGAGGCCTGGGAGGTGAGATGCATGGGACCTGGAGTGGGGGCCTCACAGTAGAGAGGAGAAATCTAACATTACTGCATAAGGTGGCTAAGATCTCTGGTTGCTCATCAGGCAGAGTGTATTGCTCTGTATTTGCAAAACTGCTCAATAAATTTTTACTGGCAAGGCAAAAGGAGAAACATCTGCTCTAGTCAAGAGCAGCTGTGGTCAGCAATAAGGCAGTTGGCACCAGGTCAATGCTTCTCTTGCTGGTAGGTGGTATTGTGGTCACCAGTAATTACTTTGGAGAATTTCATGGAGTCAAGGATAACTAAATGGACAAAGAACATTTTATTTTACTTTCTATCTTTAGCCCAAGAGCAAAAATTGTGACATGTTGTACAGAATTCAGAAGCCCAATGCAAGCCATATTTTTCATGGAAGAACTTTATACCTCAAAGACTGGAAACCCTTTAATGTAAGTATTTCAGACAAGAATGACCTCTTCACTCATTACTTCTGAATGAACAGTTCCTGTAGATTGCATTAGTCTTTAAGTGTTTCCTTCTGAAAGATATATTATAGAATACTATAAAGAAAATGTGAAAATTATATTTAGCAAATCAATAAATGGTTTAAGTTTCTAAAAACTTCGTCTTTGTCAAATTTGCATGGTATCTTTGAGTTGAATAACTCTACAATGAATAGAATTTGCAGTGTAAATAAAAGTCTGTTCAATGCACGCAGTTGTAATAATTTTTCACAGAGTGATGAATATCAGAAAGTAGCAGTTAAATTAATATACACTGTACTTAAAAAAATTAAACACTTGGGAAATAACCTTTTGAGCCACTGGAAAATGACAAAGTCAAAGACACATCAATCAAGTTAATTTCAGTACCAAAGCAATGCATTTTTCCCACTAGCAACTATATGGAAAAACAAATTAACCAAAATGGGTCTCCAAATGATGGGACAGAATCAGGCTCAAAGAGAACTTCATGATTGGTTGCCAATTAGGTTATTCTACACACTCCCACACCCACACGCAAAGGCAAAACTAGCCACATTCATTTTAAAAAAGAAAAAGGAAATTCTGTTACCATGAGAGAGGACTTGCAACAACAGCTATAATTCAGGTACATAGGCCATGCCAGGTGAGCCATGTCCCAAATGTTACTGGATATGCTATCCTAACACATTCAGTCCACCCTCTGACCACTGGGATGCTTAGAACACCCTTAGAAGATTTTGGAAGTAGAGGAAGAGACCCAGGGACTAATTTCAATCCACAGGTTGTGGCAAAAGTAGGTTTATAGTTGTTTGTGTAGAAAATAATAAGTAATAATACAAGAATAAACTCTGTGTTTCGCATACTCACAAACTATAAACCTACTTTTGCCCCACCCTGTATTTTAACCCGATTCCTGATTCAACCAGGTCCAGAATGCTGCTGTAAACCAATCGGGTGTGGGGTCAGGAAAGGTATAGGGCTGTCCCAGCACAGAAAAGAATCCCTGGTCAATATGTGGGTGGCCCACATCGGGGTCTCTGTGTCAGCCCTCTCAATCACTGTGGGACCTGGGGCAGATCACTCGAACCCTCAGAGCTTCCTTTTTGCTCAAATGAAGAGGTCAAAGGAGGAGGCCTCCCAGCTTTAACACGACGTTGGTCCACAAAGATTAGGTCTCTAGACCCTAAAGAGCTGTCCCATTGGCTTCACAGCCCTCGTAACTGGGAATTGAGCCCGAAATCTTTCAGTATAAGGGACGATGCTCCAACCAACTGAGCCACACTGTTATTTTTTATGACATAGTTTTGCTACCTTCAGGTTGCCATTTCCAAGCTCACGCCTTTGCTCATGTTACTGCCACAGATTGAATTGACTTTCCTTAGGTTCTTTTTTTTTTTTTTTTTTTTTTAACCCACTGAAAGCCTCTTCTTTGTCTTTTAAAGACACTACCTTCTAAAGAATTGGCAAAATAAATCCTAATATTGCCAATGATGGAATAGTTTGCACTCATTACATGAGATTATAAATGAAGTTCTCAAGAATCAGTTTGGAAGACATTGGGGTTAGTTTGTAAAGGCAGTGATCACCACTATTTCTTCTGCTCAACAATGGTTCAAAACCAAACCAAACCAAACAAACAAAAAAAAATACCGGGAGATTAATCCCTCTGAAAAAAAGTAGGTTGATTGCTAGAAGAGAGGATATGAATTCGAATTCTCCCTTCAGCTTCCTGAATTCCAGGCTTCATGCATCTCATGAGACTGTAACTATAAGTTCTGCCACAGCTCTTTGCAATAATTTGCATCCAGTGATGTCCTTCTAATTGGAGGAAGTATCTACACATCGCAGGCTAGTCAGTGAGGAAGTTCTTGTCATGTTGAAAACATCAAATATAAACAGAGGAGGGCTGGGGTCTAAGCCTAGCAACAGCACCCAAATATAGATTGGATTTAAAATAGACATGAACGTTACTAAAACACCACTATCAATATTTTTCTGTGCTTTAAGATATAGTGATTTGTGAAAGGGCTAAGCAGGCCATATCTAAGGGTCTCTTTTAGGTCTAATTCGGATATTTGAACTGTCTTCCTCAAGTTCTTGGCTTCTTGCTGTGGGATAACAAGAGCCATTTGGGTCTTGGGTGTACTTAGCGCTGGGAAACCATTCCCCTTTAATTAAAACACACTCATCTCCTGAATCTTATTCCATTATTATGAGAGGGCGTAGGTTTCTTGGAAAATGTAAGCATTTATTCAACAAACATTGTTTTCAACATCTAGGTGTTAAATGCTGTTAGTAGGGAGAGAAAGTACAATTTTTGAACTGGTTTTCCCTAAGAACTGTTCTTTTATTAGGCTTATTTACTTTCTTTTCTCTTCCATCATTAGCATAAAGAGTTAGCTACATTGTTGTTGTTTTTTTGCTGTGTGTGTATGTGTGTGTGTGTGTGTGTGAAATCAAACCATGAGACAACAAGTAGAGAACAACAGAGCCCAAGGACGTAGATGCAAGTGCTGGGTGATCAAACAGGCTGACCCACCAGCTTTGCCCATGCCTCCTATATGCCAACATACTAATCAGTAATAACAGCCAATTCTTCACTGACTTTCAGAGTCACTATCAAACCCCTAATGTCAAATCTATGAATTCACTGTATCTACTGTACTGAGGGTCCCCTAAAGACATCCTAATTGGATTGTAATTTCAGGTTGGGTTCATGAAGGGTGCGAGGTGGGGAGGAGGAGTGAGAGTGGAGTGAGAAGGAGCAGAAGGTTTCTCATGGCAAGTTTCCTTCATGCCCAAACAAAGGAAAATTCCCAAGGAAGAGTGGCATATTGAAATCTAATCACAAGCCGAACCTATTTTTGCCCTCGAATTCATCAAAATCAGTTTAAGAATAACAACCCTCAGTGCCTTTTAAGAATGCTTCTTTTGGGGGAAAGTTTTAGTTAAGAAATACTTCAGCGTGTTTGGGGTTAATTTAGGAGAAAGGAGTCCTTTAGTCCTAGAGCTCAGTGGCATGAGTAAAAGAATTTGGTCTCCTAGATAAGATCTGTTGTGAACTTCTTAGGGCATGCGTGGTAAAACGGGTAAGTTTTAAATGAGCATCAGCTACAACTCATTCCTTTCAATATCGTGGTGTAGCAGAAAGAATGTGGACTTTGGAGTCAGAGAAAACTGGGTTCAAAGCTTATCTCCTTCTCTTAGGCTGAATCCTCTCATCTGTGAAATAAAGACACAATTTTACCTGACAGGCTAGTTGTGGGGACCAGAAATTATCTTGTCCCCAGAGCAGGCATTTAGTACGTGGTAGCTCCTGCTATTATCATCAACATCATTACCATTATTATTTGAGGTGACATGGTTACAGTTCCCAAATATCCAAAAAATGGTCTTTAAAAAAATATTTTTTTATTGACTTCAGAGAGGAAAGCAGAGGGAGAGAGAGATAGAAACATTAATGATGACAGAGAATCATTGATCAGCTGCCCCCCGACTGGGGATCAAACCCATAACCCAAGCATGTACTCTGACCAGAAATCGAACTGTGACCTCCTGGTTCATAGGTCAACACTCAACCACTGAGCCACACCAGCCAGGCCCAAAAGATGCTTTTCCCTCCACCAAAATACCTGTCACCACGGCCATGTAATCGCCCCACAGGAAATACCAATGAAGGTATTTTCCTCTTGCACATATTTAAAGCTCAGGTAGAAGACGGCGGCTTGTGAACTTCCAGCACAGCAGTTATGGCTTCACATACCTGAGTGTTCTTTTAAAAAAACATATTCACATTTAAAAGGTCAAGTTGTAAAGCCATTTGATTAAAATAGTAATAAAAGAGTAAACATTAACTCACAACTTCTCCTTTGGTCTTTACTATTCCAAGTAGTATCACCTCCAGAATACGTTGCACCTTAAGACATTTTAAGATTATCTTGATTAAAATCTTTAAGTTCTTAATTTTAAGTAGGGAAACCTAATCTCCAAAAGCCACGGTGAGTACTTTCAGCATGAGCTAGATCTTAACAGGAGCATGTTATCCTCTGCTACGCCGGAGACATTCATACAGTGAAACATGATCACCCAAAGTAAACGAAATTCCCTTTCTATATTAATTTTAGAGCCACTGACAAAACGCAAATAATTAACGCCAGGAAGGGAAAATGGCTCATCACGAGGCCACCCTAGTTTCCAAAAGCACCATAAGTCATGGAAACTTATCTCTAGCATTTCAACAGTTTCCTCAAAGGTTTCGGAGCTCTCTGTTCAAGGCCTTGCAAACTGAATTAAAAGACAAAGCAAACAAATAAACCCCCTTGAAGACATGTACAGCTACGTCAGTACTTCAAACCCAGGCTTCCCTCTTGGATACGGAACTATCGTTGATGGAAATGCCCTTCAAGCTGGTTTCTCCTCTCCAAACTCGCTAGGCAGAGAACCTGTTTGAACCCAAGCTAAATAATAATGGTGGTGCTAATGGACTCCCACTATCTGTAATATGACAGTCTGCTATTTTATTCACTCTTGCTTTTGCTTTTCAAAAATAAGCTCACTAAATCAGCACCTACTTCTTCCCCTAAGAACTGTAAACCCAACCTATACGCCATGCATATGAAACATTGACACACAGACATGTTATATCGCTTCTATTGTTCAAAACATCCACTAATAAACTTAAAAACCTGAAGAACCCAAGCACTTGGATTTCTTATGTGCTTGTCTGGACTATCTGCAATATCCATTTCGATCTTTGCTATTTCTAGCCACAGAGCTATCACAGGAGTTGGCCTCGGGGCCCGGAGAGGAAATCTGGCTTCCACCTCTGGGACGCACGTTCCAGTGCTTATGTCTGACTGACCCTGCCAATCACCCCTCCCAGAAGCCGCAAGCCTGGCTTACAATAACAGAGTATATCAAAGAGGACAGGAAGGAAAACAAGAGGGTGGCGGGGTCAGCAGAGGACAAGAGCACGGTGAAGATGCCCTGTGGAAACCGGGAAGTAGGGAGGCATCGACTAATGGCATCAAATGTGTTTCTCAGAAAAGGCAACGTCGTAAATGCATATCAGACCTGAGCTGCCAGTCAGCTCTGCTACCGTAAAATCACGGTCGGAAGTGACTGGGAGAGCAGGTTGTCTCGTGATGACGGTACTGGTCAGGAAGAAATACTCTGATTCCCATGAACTTATTAGGACCCGTATGCTTCCACCAACTCAAGAGTGGTGATTGTTGCAGCTGTATATGGATCTCCAATATAAAGACCATTCATGTAAAGTAAGACTCTGCACTATAACCATCTAATTCAAGAACAGGGATATTCCATTAGAATCGAGTTTCCTGCCTCCATATAAAAATACGCCTAATTCATTCTGCATTATGATCATCAGCAAATTTAAAAGGCATAGTGAGTAGACCAGGAAAGTGGGAAAGAGCTGGGGAACTAGAGTCAGACTGGGTTTGAATCTTGACTCTGCCACTTAATGGGCTGTGTGATTCTGGGAAAGTTACTCAGTTTCTCTGAATCTCAGTTTTCTCAGAGAATTATCATGAGGACCTGACGTCCCAAGAGATGATGAACTTTCCACATATGTTAACTTATTATTATTAAAGGTAGCTATGTAAAAGCTAAAGAAAACTTGTCAATGGTTTCTTGATTTACCAATCAAGGCCACTCCCTTAGGCCTGGCAAACTTCTTTTCTACTACTTCCCTTCACATCCACTATGCAACTTTCCTGCCTCTGTTCCTTTATTTGTGCTGTTCCCGCTGCATAAAATCACTTTTAAAGCCACCTTAGAAGA